AGCTAAGGCTTTTCTTTATTTTACAGGTTGTGATAATATTCATTGTTGTTTTGCTGGTTTGTATGACTGTCTATGCAGTGTACCTGTTTGTGGATACTAGGATGTCTCCATTTGAGATTAGTGTCACATCAGATGAGGTAATTTTGTACTTTGATGCTTATTATTTTGATCCTTTTTATGAATTACAAATAATTAAGTTTTGCTGTTTTTGGTCATGCTAATGTTGTTGTTCAATTTAATTTTTTAAATTTTACCCAGAAGTCAATTGCCAATTGCATGATTACATCACACCAAAACATTCTATTGTTTTAACGCTAAGGATTATGGTTGCCAGAGGGGACCAGTCTGACTGCATATCAAATAAAATGGAGATGAGCTATCATTGATAAATGATATACATCGAAAGTCCATACACTAAAGTTTCTACTTTGAGAAAGAATCTTACTACATCAAAATTCTTTCTGAGCACAAACAAACATACTGTGACGTCAGTATGCCTTAGTTCATTCTTGACCAGTTTTTGGAAAAGCTAATCTTAGAACTTAGAATTATCTTTATGTTTATTATTATTATGATATAGTTTCAATCTTTGTTTCTGACTTATTTGAGATTTTGTCCAGCAGTTAGATTCTCACTTTTATGAGTGGGACAACTATTTCATTTTATTTACATTCACAAGGTTTCTCCTGCTGAGCATCAAAATTAGTGGTTTTTTTTTTCTCTTTCTCTTTCAAGATGCAGGAACAGTTAGCAGCAAGGACTCGCAGACGACGTGGATTCAGCGTCCGAGCCATTGATCAGCGGCATACACGATGGAAGCAACAAGTCGCTGAGCAACGCCGTCACATTTATGATACAAGAACCATGCTGAGTTAGCCTAGAAACAAGATGAGATGAAGTCTATCGTAGACAGTGCAAGGCAGGTGGCAGTGTACAGCTCTTTAAAAACTGTTGTCAGTGAATTTCAATGATGGGAACTTTAGCCTTCAGTACTTTGTAGCTACTCTAGCTGAAAACAGTTTTTTAAAGTTGCTTATTTAGAATGATTTACAGTCAATAGAATGATTGCCATTTAAAGGACAATTTAAAGACAACAGGAGATGGTGGAATGACTGACAGCTGTCAATCATACACCACTCATTATMATAATATAAAAATAAGCAGGTCAGCATCTCTTAGCTTAACTAGGAAGCTTATGAGATAGGGCACTATACAGAAAGTGATTGATAGGTGTCAATCAAAATCGCTTTGCACATCATATCACATTCAAAATGTGCACAATAAGAGAAAAAATGTGATTGAAAAATGTCAATCACCGTTTATTTGCTAAAATGATTGACAAATGTCAATCAAAGATAGCATCAGATATTTTTGAGTATCAAATTCAAAATCAAATTCAKTTACATGTGCAAGCGAAAGTCTTGGACAAAAAATTGATTGAAAAAATTTGCTAGCAATAATGGTAAATCTTGAAATTTAAAATCATGTTACGTTGCGTGCTGTACSTCGTACGTACGTGTTTTCTTTGAAAAACATTTTAGTCAAGGCTCATGTACGTTAGGTGGCACGTACATTTACGTTGTCATTTGTAATCATGTTATCTTGTTACGGATCGTTACGCGAGTTGTACGTAGSTACGTGTTTCTTTTGAACCAACGTATGAATGTTTTCTTTAGTGAAAATTAAGTTCTACATTTACGTGAAATTACGTTAAACTATTCACATGCCCATGCGATTCCGTTCACTGCGATTTCCTCGTCATTGCTCCGTGTTATAGACGCACCTCTGAACTTTTATATTTGGGCGTTGGAGTGAAACATCTTTCGTTCCGTTTCGTTCCGTTTCCGTGAATTTAACGGCGTCTATTTAATATAGAAGTCTTAGCCACGAGGTTTATTCGTGCGAGCAACGAACCAAATAGTCTAGATTTCTTTTATCTTGTTATTTTTTATTAACTGCCGAGTTTATAAAAATTACGTGAACATACATTTGTGCTGTATTAGTATTGCGCGCGTGCGTGGGGTACAACGCGCGTGATTTTTTTAATCTGTTTTTTCAGAAACTATATGCAACTAAAACTCTGAATTACAGATACCCTGTAGATATCCAAAATACCCTGAAAGAAAATTAAGAAAACTCCGCTATGCCCCATTGTTTTTCTACCTTCTTACCCAGTGTTTTGATACATAGGTCAAATGCTCGCCTTGTTGTACTTGTTATGTTTTTTCTATTGGGTACACAACTTTAAATACGTGTACTAACACGTACATGAAATTCAGACCCGACGAGAAACAGAGTCTTTTGTCATAAATTCGGACATTTTGACGGAAAACTCGACAAGCGTGCTTTCTGTTTTAGGCGAATGTTTTTTTTCTACTTAATCTCGATGTAGCCCCATTACCAATAACCATATGCAAGTTTTTCATTGTTTTATTTCTTATTTAAGTGATAATCCATATTTAATGCTGGTGGCCACTTTGTGATATAATTACGAACCAATAAAAAAAACAGGTACTGGTCCATACTGTGGGTTATGGACCGGTCCATACTGTAGATTATTGACCGCAAACTACAAAAGCAGTTTATGATGATATAAATACAGGAAATCTGTTGAGGAGCTCAGCACGTAAATGGTTTTGGCTTTTAACCGCATAATAGCGAATAACAATGACTTGTTTCTGACAAAAACAGGAGATTGCGAAAGTTTGTTGTACACAATTGTATAATGACTAAATGTAGCAAACATCAACAGGTCATGCTAAAAACGCGCAGGTAACAAAAACATACATATATATACAAACAAAAAGCGCTTATGATAGGCCCTACATTGTATACATTCAATAGGACTTGGCGATGCTGTGTATTCCCTCCGATAAAGTGGGATTCTCCGTTAAAATTTGTCTAAATATTCGCTGATGAAATATTTTGCCCAGAAAGCGAGCTCACTCWGAGGCAGAACTATCTTGGTTTAGCCCACTGTAACATAAGACGTTTGTATATTAACAGGGCGTGCTAGCCAACTTTTCATACAAACACCCTATTCCTGGTCAAATACAAACAACGTTTTTCCAGTCTCTTATGTGGCTCTAGAGTTAACTATTGCACGCGAGGCCATCACCGAATCTAGAGTTTACTATTGCTGCACGCGAGGCCATCACAGACTCTTCCCAATGTATACGTTGATTCTCGTGGCTCTCGTGATAGCGTGCAGTAGAGAGATATCATATCCTTGCTTTTGTTAAGACTCTATATCCCAAAGTTGATTAAGTGTATGGACGGTTGATTTTGTAGCTAATTTGATCGATAAAACAACCCGCACATGGACCCCTGGGGTTGTAATTGACTTGCTCTGTCCCGCGGGATCCCAATGGGGGGTAGGGTAAGAAGCTAAACGCACGTAAAGCTGCCGTATATTTTTTTATTAACGTGAAGGTATAAAAAGTATACATAAAGGTTTTAAAAGTTAAAGTTGCATGCGTGAGGCCGTGTTTAATGAGTGTTAATCCAGTGTAGTGATTTCGTGANGATAAAGTGGGATTCTCCGTTAAAATTTGTCTAAATATTCGCTGATGAAATATTTTGCCCAGAAAGCGAGCTCACTCTGAGGCAGAACTATCTTGGTTTAGCCCACTGTAACATAAGACGTTTGTATATTAACAGGGCGTGCTAGCCAACTTTTCATACAAACACCCTATTCCTGGTCAAATACAAACAACGTTTTTCCAGTCTCTTATGTGGCTCTAGAGTTAACTATTGCACGCGAGGCCATCACCGAATCTAGAGTTTACTATTGCTGCACGCGAGGCCATCACAGACTCTTACCAATGTATACGTTGATTCTCGTGGCTCTCGTGATAGCGTGCAGTAGAGAGATATCATATCCTTGCTTTTGTTAAGACTTTATATCCCAAAGTTGATTAAGTGTATGGACGGTTGATTTTGTAGCTAATTTGATCGATAAAACAACCCGCACATGGACCCCTGGGGTTGTAATTGACTTRCTCTGTCCCGCGGGATCCCAATGGGGGGTAGGGTAAGAAGCTAAACGCACGTAAAGCTGCCGTATATTTTTTTATTAACGTGAAGGTATAAAAAGTATACATAAAGGTTTTAAAAGTTAAAGTTGCATGCGTGAGGCCGTGTTTAATGAGTGTTAATCCAGTGTAGTGATTTCGTGAYGCCATTGATGCGTTGCTAAGAATAGTGATAATCACAATGCGCATGATCACATCAATGTCACGTGATGATGTGCAGCCTCTTGTTTCTGTTACAGAAAT